TCAAAATGTTTAGATAGTTTTCCGAAAAATGTGGAGATGTCAAAAGTAAAAATTTATAAAGGTATCCAAAGTTTTTACATTTTTGAGTTATCGAAATTTATCGAGCCATCGAATTTCACAGTTATCGAAATTGGCCGAGTTAACGAATTTTGTTGAGTTATCGAATTTTAGTGTTCTTGAAATTCATCGAACTATCGATATGTATCAAATCATTGAAATTTATCGATAAACTTGAATGTGTCGGGTCAATTCCAAGTACTGCCGAAGTTCTCCAAAGACCTTCTCAGATAAAAAAAATTAGTTACGTTTTAGCAGAAGATTTTCCGGTTAGTTAATTTGTACCGTATAAGTTTTGCTACGTGTTAAGTTAGAAAACCTCTCCAAGGCTTCTAAAACTAGAAAAACTGTCGAATTTCGACAGTAACTGGCACTCTAGTCAATATAAAACTATGAACTCTCCATAGACTGTTCCACTAGCCTAAAACTTTACAGAAAATATTTTAAAACAGAAATTAAAATAAAGGACTTTTATTATATTTTCCTACACATAAAAGTCTTAAGGTGACTTTTTTCAACGATAACTAAATTGTCCGTCATATACGCACTTTTATTATAGGACAGAAAAATAAAAGTCAAAGTATAACAGTTACGAAAAGCAGTAAAAATATATGTCACAAAAAGACTTTTATTTATGGTTAAAAAAATAAAAGTCATAAAATAACACATTAAAGTGAATTTTATAGTATAGGTTAAAAAATAATTTATTTCTTTTGACTTTATGGTAAAAAAGTAAGAAAATAACAATTTGAAGATAATTTTATGGAAAAGACTCATAACTACGGTGACCATATTAACCAACGTAAAATAAAGGACATTTTTCTTTCAAAATGATTTAGGAAAATATTTATCAGTTTATTAACCGATTCCGAAAAATGAAGCCAAAGTCCTTTTCAAGGACTTCGCCATCCTTTGCTGCCAAAATGCGTTTACCATAATTTATACTGCACGCCACTGTGATGCAGTGGGTTTATTGTTATCTTTCAGTGGAACTGGAAATTCAGCGTGCAACACGATCCTGGGCACAACTTTCCCTGTGCTCTATAGATTGTGAAAAGATAACCTATTAAAAACCCTTAAGTGGAGTGCGAAACGAACTGGCGAAGGTTTTCATTATATTTTATAAGGGACATTTTTAGTTTTCATATTCTGTGTTTAAAAATTTATTTCTGAAAAATGCAGAGCTGATTTAATGGACAGTTTAAGAAATAAAGGACAAAAGGCGTCCTTTATTTTGAAAAAAATTATAAAGGACAGGGGGTTAAAATAAAGGACTGTCCTTTGAAATAAAGGACGGATGGTCACCGTACTCATAACAGTTAAAGTTCCTGAAAAAAAACCAAAATATACATATGCACACTTTCGATTGAAACCCGAAATAATGCATATGAGAAAAACGGAGTAATACATACATGCACAGTATCGACTCAAAACCGAAGTAATGAATATAAGAAAAACGAAGTAATGCATGCAAGTTAACGGCAGATCACACATAGCGGCACAGTAGTAAATATAAACAATTAGGGTACTCACAGTTCTATATTATCTACTGTGTTAATTTTGCCACCTGGTAACTTTAAAACATTTTACCATGTGGTAACTTTGTTTGTTGTTGGTTCCCATACTAATTAGAGATAACACTTTTGGGCAAAATTACTAGACTTTGTCTCATGTTTATGTTCTGTGTTAAACTGGCATCTATCGCTGCTTGTACATACATACATGAATTTCGCTTTGGGCGCAGCGCTGCTTGTACATAAGTTTCTCTTTGCGCCTGCCTGGAGCTGGCAAAGGTTATTTTTTTTTTATTTTTGCGCTGTGCTAGCTGAGTATAAAAAAGAGAAGAGAGAATAGAGAGAAATATGTATGTGGTTTGTTGATGCTCTCTAAACACAAACGCGTGAAAGGCAAACGGTCTAGCAATGCGTGGTATTGTTGATCAACTTAATACTTTATTTAAACATAAGGGTTGCTCACAGTTCGAGTGTGTTATCTTGTTAAAGTTGCCACCTTTTAACTTTAGAAGTAAACTGTGAGTACCCTAAATATTTCTTATTAATTTTTATCTAGCGGATTCATAATGCAATTTTGCAAACTCAGCAATTATGCAGCTGCATAATTGATGGCTCATTTGATTTCTTTGTCAAAAACTTAAATTTGATATATTTTTTCCGCTCTGAACGGAAAATTCCATTCAAGGGTGTCAAATAACTTCTTTGTCCAAGACATTGGCATTTCATCATAGCATGATGCAATGCCAATGCCTTATGGTGAAATTAATTGTTAAATAAATATTGTAAATGCTATACATAAGCTAAGATTGAAAATAAAGAGCAGTCTTTTTCCAAGTTTGGAACTAACTCAATTCGTGTTTTAATTAATACGCGAGGCCGCCGATCAAAACATATTTTTTTACTGTTTCCCAAACGGGAAAATATAATTTGCATGAACAGTTTCGGTTCAAAACCGAAATTATGCAAATGACAAAAACCAAAGTAATGCATACATGCACAGTTTCGTCTCAAAACCTAAATAATGCATATGACAAAAACCGAAATAGTAAATACATGCATGAAAACGAACTTCTTTCGCGTAGGCGGCCTTCGGCCGCGCTTAGGGATTATAACCCTTACTGAGTAGAATTCTCCTTTCTGTGTTGCCGGAAAAGGGGGCGGATATATTTTTGCGCAGAACTACTCTCGGCGTAGGCGGCCTTCGGCCGCGCTTAGTGATGTTCCGATACCATTACTTAGAATATAAACTCGAGTACCTCTACCAAGTACCGAGTATTTTTTGTAATTCGATATGCGTGTACAAGTACTTCATGGGTATCGAGTACCAAGTGCAAGTATATAAATAAGCTAAGATTGAAAATAAAGAGCAGTCTTTTTCCAAGCGTGGAACTAACTCAAATCGTATTTTAATTAATCCGCGAGTCCACGGATCAAAACATATTATTTTACTGTTTCCCAAACTGGGAAATATAATAAAGGATTAGCCGCGATAAATAAAGGCTTGTACAGCCAATAACATAAATAAAACCAATTTATAACTCAGCTCGATTCTGCGATTCTGAATTCTAGNGCTCATTTGATTTCTTTGTCAAAAACTTAAATTTGATATATTTTTTCCGCTCTGAACGGAAAATTCCATTCAAGGGTGTCAAATAACTTCTTTGTCCAAGACATTGGCATTTCATCATAGCATGATGCAATGCCAATGCCTTATGGTGAAATTAATTGTTAAATAAATATTGTAAATGCTATACATAAGCTAAGATTGAAAATAAAGAGCAGTCTTTTTCCAAGTTTGGAACTAACTCAATTCGTGTTTTAATTAATACGCGAGGCCGCCGATCAAAACATATTTTTTTACTGTTTCCCAAACGGGAAAATATAATTTGCATGAACAGTTTCGGTTCAAAACCGAAATTATGCAAATGACAAAAACCAAAGTAATGCATACATGCACAGTTTCGTCTCAAAACCTAAATAATGCATATGACAAAAACCGAAATAGTAAATACATGCATGAAAACGAACTTCTTTCGCGTAGGCGGCCTTCGGCCGCGCTTAGGGATTATAACCCTTACTGAGTAGAATTCTCCTTTCTGTGTTGCCGGAAAAGGGGGCGGATATATTTTTGCGCAGAACTACTCTCGGCGTAGGCGGCCTTCGGCCGCGCTTAGTGATGTTCCGATACCATTACTTAGAATATAAACTCGAGTACCTCTACCAAGTACCGAGTATTTTTTGTAATTCGATATGCGTGTACAAGTACTTCATGGGTATCGAGTACCAAGTGCAAGTATATAAATAAGCTAAGATTGAAAATAAAGAGCAGTCTTTTTCCAAGCGTGGAACTAACTCAAATCGTATTTTAATTAATCCGCGAGTCCACGGATCAAAACATATTATTTTACTGTTTCCCAAACTGGGAAATATAATAAAGGATTAGCCGCGATAAATAAAGGCTTGTACAGCCAATAACATAAATAAAACCAATTTATAACTCAGCTCGATTCTGCGATTCTGAATTCTAGACCCTCCAGAATAGAAGAGCCTCCCTTCATAGAAGGGATCACAAATAAAACAAATAAAAATTGATAACTCCGATCACGAAGCAAGGACGATAACTTCAAGGACGAAAACTACGGTCAGCAAGTAGGAACTACAAACTGCTTCACCTGGAATTAAGGGATAATCAGCCATCAGCCAGAATATCAACAAGGATTAAAGTCATCAATAGCTTAGGAGTAAGTTATATCAATATCTACATATATTAATTATATATATTATTGTGAATATTGTGTTAGTGGCTATAAAAAAGTTATTGAAATTAGATAAAAAATAGAACAACAATTAAGTAAATATGACAGACGCTTTACCAGTAGGTTTGGACTACGATGAGATAAATAGAATTGTAGACAACTTAGAGTTTGCAATAAACACTCTCCAGTTTACTGAGGAAGCTGCACCAACAGATGGAAATTTTTTTTTGGAAGGATATACTAACGGACGAAAAGAAAGTGAAGTGTATGGAATAAAATAGCGACTGCAGCGAACTACGATAATAAAGAAACCCTCGAAGAGGAATCAGTGGCAATGATTCGAAAAATAAATATAAAATACGGCTGGTACAGCCAATAAATTACCAAAAATTTCGGTCTACAAAATAAGCTTAAGCGAGTCTGAACTCCAGACCCTCCAGAGTATAAAAGCCTTCTTTTCCTAGAAGGGATCAACAACAAAATAAAACTATAAAAAATATGTTAATGGGCAATAGTCCCAGCAAACCCAAATACGAACGATTGTATTATTGCGAATACTGCCACGGGGCTCACAAAATAAGTAACTGCCCATACCTTAACAAAAAACGTTAGAAGACATAAAAGAATAATTAATTTTTCAACTACGGAAAAAATTAAAATACTAAACGGAAATATGGCGAACGGTGACTTGACAGTTGATCTTATTACAAGATTAATCGCTAGTAGCAATATAGGCCTAATGCAAGAAATTGAACATTTACGTTCACAATTAGAAGTAAATACTCGTAGGGCTACAGATTATGAAGCCGAAACAATTAATGAAAATATAGTGTGCCAGGTGTCCCTTGACGTGATAGGATCACTACCCGAATTTTTGGGAAATATAAACGCGTATGTTAACTGGAGAGAAGCAGCTCATAACGAAATGAGCCTGTACGTGAGAAGCAGTAGAAAATACTTCGCAGCACGATTTTGAGAAACAAAGTAGCTCAGGACGCGAAAGATGTCCTAACAAACCACGGCACCGTGTTAAATGTCGATGCGATAGTCGCTCGCCTTGACTTCGCGTACTCGGACAAACGCCCGATACACATTATTGAGCAGGAATTAAGCGTCCTTCGACAAGCCGTAATGTCGGTTGTAGAACATTAAAACCTGGTCAACAAACAAATTACTTTATTAATAAACAAAACAATAATGACACATGGCAATGCGTCGGATATAACTAAAGAGCTTAATAAGAAGAATAATGATCCCTATGCCCTAAGAATTTTTATAACAGGACTCAATGCGCCATTAAGAGAGATAATTTTTTCGCTTAACCCGCAAGATTTTCCTGATGCTTTGGAAAAAGCACAGGAGCTCGAATCAAACAATCAGAGAGCATTATTTGCGCAAAATTTTGCAAATGAAAAATAAGAGCTAGGTTACCAAAATTCTCAAGTAATAACTTGAGGTTCCCATTAAGGAACAACATGACTAAAGCAGAACCGATGGATATAGATCCATCGCTATCAAGATTCCGGAAAAATATTGTTACCAAACCGCAACAAAATAATGGTTTCATGGAATACAACCCAAGCTAGCACGAGTGCTATTGCAGCCAATAAAAATTTGTGGCCTCAAATCCAAAATGCTCACGCTCCGAAGCGACCAAGAGTAAGCAACCATAGCTTTCGTCCGCAGGAAAAAACGCAAAGGGTTAACAATTTAAACGAAAGTCATTTTTTAGAGGAAGAGGGGTTGTCCTCCCCTACATTAACCTCTCTTCTTCTTCTTAATTGGCGCTGTAACCGCCTAAGCGATTTTGCCCGAGTACAAAACAGCACGCCAGTCATTTCTCTTCTGTGCTAACTGACGCCAATTGAAAATGCCAAGTGAAGCCAAGTCCTTCTCCACCTGGTCTTTCCAACGCAGAGGAGGCCTTCCTCTTCCTCTGTTCCCAGCATCGCGGCCCGCGTTGAATATTTTCAGAGCAGGAGCGTTTCTGTCCATCCGAACGACATGGCCAAGCCAGCGGAGCCGCTGAATTTTAATTCGCTGCACTATGTCTATATCGTTGTAAAGCTCAT